TCATTATACTAACGTAATGCTCAACAATTTTGGTAACAAATACTTTTTATTTGACATAAAATCATAAATGAACAGGAAAGAAATAATAAAATGTCTAAACATGTTATTTTACGTTTAACTTACTCATTTAAGAAGAAAAACAAAGAGCCGGAATTATCTACTCGCACGCATTTAAAACATCCTTTTTACGTACCTCTTCCAGGGCCTCTCAAAATACCCGTTATATGTTTCTAAATATAACTTTTACGGTGATACCGGAAAATCGAAGAGCTGAAGTTTATTATGGTGCAAGATTCATCAGAATACGTAAACAAATAAATGAAATATGCCCCCAAAACACTGATTTTCGGCCGAGTTTATCTCCCAAACCAGTACATGACTGGTATGTGGCGTATGTGGCATATCCGATACACATATATAAAGGACAGCTTGCCTCGCAAAAATAAAGTTTAAAATAAAAGGACTTAAACCCCAGTTTAAACCCCAGGGCTTTTATTTGAACAAACTTGGTAGACACCCATTATAAGATGTTTCATGCTAAAAGTCTAAGGTCTAGCTGGTCAAGTTTTTTCTTTACACATATAGTTAAAAACAATGACACACCTGGGGCAGGGCCAGTTTTGACCCAAGGGCTTTTATTTGAACAATCTTTGTAGACACTAACTAGAAAATGTTTCATGCTTAATATCTAAACTCTAGCTATTCGGGTTTTTTCAAAGAAGATTTTTAAGTTTTTGCCATACACATATTAGGAAAAGACAATGTCACTGGGGCGGGGCCAATTTTGACCCCAGGGCTTTAAAATTTATTTGAACAAACTTTGTAGACACTCACTAGAAGATGCTTCGTGCTTAAAATCTAAACTCTAGCTATTTGAGTTTTTTCAAAGAAGATTTTTTAAGTTTTTGTTATACACATATAAGGAAAATGAATGACCCCCGGAGCGGGGCCTATTTTGACCCAAGGGCTTTTATTACAACAAGCAAATTCGTTGAATTTATATCCCCCGCCGAGTACTGGTTATTATTAACACAACAACTGAAGACATAAGGCTTTATTTATATATTAATCATGGCATAAACTGTAATATTCTTTGAACTTGAAGCCTTGTACCTTCAAACAAGAAAAAGTTTTCACTATATACATATAAGGAAAATCTATGACCCCCTGGAGTGGGGCCAATTTTGACCCCAGGGCTAAAATTTGAACAATTTTGGAAGATGACCTATAGGTTATATCATATACCAAATATCAAAGCTCTAGGCCTTGTACTTTCAGACAAGATTTTTTAATTTTGCATTTTTGAAACTCCTTTTCTGGCCCTGTGACCTACTTATGCAACAGACTGGAACCATTTGATCAACTTTGGCAGGGGACCACCCTAGGATCATTCCTGTAAAGTTTGGTTGCTGTGCAGTCATTTGTTTCTGAGGAGATGTTGTTTAAAGAAATTGCTGACGACGCACGGTGGGGGATCACAATAGCTCACCTAGATGTTAAAACATCTTAATCTCCAGACTTCATTATTCGTAATTTAGTGATGTTGATCATTATTCCTGTAAAGTTGGTCGATTCTAACTCAAGCACTCAAGGATCAAATAACAACATAATGAAACAGTTTTTACTAAGTCAAGGGAAATAACTCTACAAATACTGGATAAATCCACAAGCAAAACCCCAGGAACAAACTAAATATGCTGAGCAACTTTCCAATAAGGTTAAATGACTCTATGTCAAATCCTTTTTGAGTTATATGCGACACATGTTGAAAATTGCAAACATTTTCTAAGTCAAGGGCAATAACTCTAAAAATACTAAATAAATCCAGACGAAAATACCCAGGTGCACAACTACACATGCTGATCAACATTCCTGTGAAGTATCATGACTTTAGGTCAAATACTTTTTGAGTTACATGTGACACAAGTTGAAAACTGCAAAATTTTACTAAGTCAAGGGCAATAACTCTAAAAAAAGTAAAAATATCCGGACGAAAATACCCAGGTGCACAACTACACATACTGATCAACATTCCTGTAAAGTTTCATGACTCTAGGTCAAACACTTTTTGAGTTACATGCGACACAAGTTGAAAATTACAAAATTTTACTAAGTCAAGGGCAATAACTCTAAAAATGCTAAAAATATCCAGACGAAAATACCCAGGTACACAACTACACATACTGATCAACATTCCTGTCAAGTTTCATGACTCTAGGTCAAATACTTTTTGAGTTACATGCGACACAAGTTGAAAATTACAAAATTTTACTAAGTCAAGGGCAATAACTCTAAAAATACTAAAAATATCCAGAAGAAAATACCCAGGTGCACAATTTCACATGCTGATGAACATTCCCATAAAGTTTTCGTTGAATTCCAGCCATTAGTTGCAGAGAACTACTCCGGAAACGAAATTCGGACGTTTTACTAAGTCAAGGGCAATAACTCTAAAAATACTAAAAATATCCAGACGAAAATACCAAGGTGCACAAATTCACATGCTGATCAACATTCCCATAAAGTTTCGTTGAATTCCAGCCATTAGTTGCAGAGAACTACTCCGGAAACGAAATTCGGACGGACGGACGGAAGGACGGACAACGCCAAAACTATATCCCCCTCCCGATTCCATCGGCGGAAACAGTTTTTACTAAGTCAAGGGAAATAACTCTACAAATACTGGATAAATCCACAAGCGAAACCCCAGGAACAAACTAAATATCCTGAGCAACTTTCCAATAAGGTTAAATGACTCTATGTCAAATCCTTTTTGAGTTACATGTGACACATGTTGAAAATTGCAAACATTTTCTAAGTCAAAGGCAATAACTCTAAAAATACTAAATAAATCCAGACGAAAATACCCAGGTGCACAACTACACATGCTGATCAACATTCCTGTAAAGTATCATGACTTTAGGTCAATTACTTTTTGAGTTACATGTGACACAAGTTGAAAATTGCAAAATTTTACTAAGTCAAGGGCAATAACTCTAAAAATAGTAAAAATATCCGGACGAAAATACCCAGGTGCACAACTACACATACTGATCAACATTCCTGTAAAGTTTCATGACTCTAGGTCAAACACTTTTTGAGTTACATGCGACACAAGTTGAAAATTACAAAATTTTACTAAGTCAAGGGCAATAACTCTAAAAATACTAAAAATATCCAGATGAAAATACCCAGGTACACAACTACACATACTGATCAACATTCCTGTAAAGTTTCATGACTTTAGGTCAAATACTTTTTGAGTTACATGCGACACAAGTTGAAAATTACAAAATTTTACTAAGTCAAGGGCAATAACTCTAAAAATACTAAAAATATCCAGAAGAAAATACCCAGGTGCACAACTTCACATGCTGATGAACATTCCCATAAAGTTTCGTTGAATTCCAGCCATTAGTTGCAGAGAACTACTCCGGAAACGAAATTCGGACGTTTTACTAAGTCAAGGGCAATAACTCTAAAAATACTAAAAATATCCAGACGAAAATACCCAGGTGCACAACTTCACATGCTGATCAACATTCCCATAAAGTTTCGTTGAATTCCAGCCATTAGTTGCAGAGAACTACTCCGGAAACGAAATTCAGACGGACGGACGCCAAAACTATATCCCCCACCCGATTCCATCGGCGGGGGATAACAAACTTGGTAGACATTCACGAGAAGATGTTTCAAGCTTAGTATCTAAACTCTAGCTGTTTGTTTTTTTCAAAGAAGATTTTTTAAGTTTTTGCTATACACATATAAGGAAAATCAATGACCCCCCCCGGGGCAGGGCCAATTTTGACCCCTGGGCTCTTATTTGAACAAACTTGGTAGACATCCATTAGAACATGTTTCATGCTAAATATCTTAGCTCTAGCTCTTTGGGTTTTTTAAAAGAAGATTTTTTAGGTTTTTACTATATGCATATAGGGAAAATCAATGACCCCCTGTGGCGGGGCCAATTTTGACTCCAGGGCTTTTATTTGAACAAACTTGGTAGACACCCATTAGAGGATGTTCTATGCTAAATATCTTAGCTATAGGTCTTTGGGTTCTTTACAAGAAGTTTTTTAAGTTTTTGCTATACACATATAAGGAAAATCAATGACCCCTACTGCGGGGCCAATTTTGACCCCAGGGCTTTTATTTGAACAAACTTGGTAGACATCCATTAGAACATGTTTCATGCTAAATATCTTAGCTCTTGCTCTTTGGGTTCTTTAAAAGAAGATTTTTTAAGTTTTTACTATATGCATATAGGGAAAATCAATGACCCCCTGGGGCGGGGCTAATTTTGACCCCAGGGCTTTTATTTGAACAAACTTGGTAGACACCCATTAGAGGATGTTTCATGCTAAATATCTTAGCTATAGCTCTTTGGGTTCTTTTAAAGAAGATTTTTTAAGGTTTTACTATATGCATATAGGGAAAATCAATGACCCCCTAGGGAGGGGCCAATTTTGAACCCAGGGCTTTTATTTGAACAAACTTGGTAGACACTCACTAGAAGATGTTACATGCCAAATATCTAAGCTCTAGCTCTTTGGAATTTTTAGAAGAAGATATTTAAAGTTTTTTCTTTTGGTTGCCATGGCAACCAGAGTTCTGCATGGAATTAAATTCTTTGAACAATTTTCAAAGGTGACCACCAAAGGAACATTCATGTGAAGTTTGGATGAAATTGGCTTAGTGGTTTATGAGGAGATGTCATTTAAAGTAAAAGTTTACGGACGACAGACGGACAGACGACTGACGGACGGACGGACGCTGGACGAAAAGCGATCACAAAAGCTCACCCTAACACTTTGTGACAGGTGAGCTAAAAATGCCATGCCACCACATAAATACAACACTAAATAGTATTTATTTTGTTTCTATACAGATTGCCATAATGCATTGATCACTTACCTATCTGTTATTATCAGATTAGTACCTTCAGAAAACAAGAAACATGGCAATGCCATGAAACCAGGTTTTCAATTATCACCATTGTAGATAAATATGTTGTATTTGAAATACAAATACAAGCAACAAACAATGTAACTATGTGCAATGTAAAACATGAATAATGTAGGAGGAATTGCGCACAGAAGAAGTGTTCACTATATATATTCTGTATAAGGAAAAAAAACAAAGGGCCATAATTAGGTAAAAAATTATCCAATCACAAAACCCCGACAATATGTGCTAGGGCACTTGATGACAAAGCTTCTGTGAAAGTTTGAACAAAATCCGTTGAGAAATGTAGGAAGAGTTCAGCACAGGAGAATTTGTTCAATTCTGTATAAGGAAAAAAAACAAAGGGCCATAATTAGGTCAAATATTATCCAATCACAAAACCCTGACAATATGCGCCAGGGCACTTGATGACAAAGCTTCTGTGAAAGTTTGGTCAAAATCCGTTGAGAAATGTAGGAGAAGTTGCGCACTGTAGAAATTGTTCACTATATATTCTATATAAGGAAAAAAAACAAAGGGCCATAATTAGGTCAAATATTATCTAATCGCAAAACCCTGACAATATGCGCCAGGGCACTTGATGACAAAGCTTCTGTGAAAGTTTGGTCAAAATCCGTTGAGAAATGTAGGAGGAGTTGCGCACAGAAGAAATTGTTCACTATATATTCTATATAATGAAAAAAAACAAAGGGCCATAATTAGGTCAAATATATACCAATTGCAAAACCCTGACAATATGTGTCAGGGCACTTGATGACAAAGCTTCTGTGAAAGTTTGGTCAAAATCCGTTGAGAAATGTAGGAGTTGCGCACAGAAGAAATTGTTCACTATATATTCTATATAATGAAAAAAAACAAAGGGCCATAATTAGGTCAAATATTATCTAATCGCAAAACCCCTACAATATGCGCCAGGGCACTTGATGACAAAGCTTCTGTGAAAGTTTGGTCAAAATCTGTTGAGAAATGTAGGAGGAGTTGCCCGCCCGCCCGCCGACATACCTCAATCTAATAACCAGTTTTTTCCTTCGGAAAACCTGGTTAATAAGATTTTTAATTTTTTTACTTTATGACATAGTGACTGAAAATCAATGATCCCCAGGGGCGGGGCCAATTTTGACCCCAGGTCATTAATTTGAATAATCTTGCTAGAGGTTCACTACACAATGTTTAATGCAAAATGTCTAACCTCTAGCCTTTGTCAAAATCAAAAAGATGATTTTTTTAAATTTTTACTATATTCATGTAAGGAAAACCTATGAACCCCGAGGCAGGGCTAGTTTTGACACTAGAGGCGAAATTTGAACAACTTTGGTAGAGTACCTATATATGATATCATATATCAAAGTTTTGACACTAGAGGCAAAATTTGAACATCTTTGGTAGAGTACCTATATATGATATCATATACCAAAAATACAATCTTGCTAGAGATTAACTACACAATGTTTCATGCAAAATATCTAATCTCTAGCCTTTGTCAATTTAGAAAAGATGATTTTTAAAGTTTTTACTATATACATGTAAGGAAACCTATGACCCCCTGGGCGGGGCTAGTTTTGACACTAGAGGCAAATTTGAACAACTTTGGTAGAGTACCTATAGATAATAACACATACCAAATATCAAACCTCTAAGCCTAGTACCTTCGTACAAGAAGGTATTTTAAGTTTTTACTATATGTACATATAGTGAAAATCAATGAGCCCTGGGGCGGGGCCGATTTGGACCCCAGGGCTATAATTTGAACAATCTGGGTAGAGGTCTACCAGACAATGCCTTATGCAAAATATCTAAGCTCTAGGCCTTTTGGGTCTTTACAAGAAGATTTTTTAAATTTATTCTTATAATTCCTTTTGGTTGCCATGGCAACCATATTTCTGCATGGAATGAAATTCTTCACTCAAGGATCAATCCTGCCAAGTTTGGTTGAAATTGGACTAGTGGTTTTTCACAAGAAGATTTTTTAAGTTCACTAAATAATCTTTAGAACACACACACACAAACAAACAGACACACACAGGTGAATCGCAGGTGGCATAAAAATATTTTCTATGCAGGTCTATATAAGATAATTGACACCTGGAACAGGTCACTTTTGATTCCAGGGGCATCATTTATATAACTCTTTCAGAGTAGGTTATACTATGTCTGACAAGGCAGTAACTGTATGCTCTCCTTTCAGGTGCATAAAAATCACTGAAGGGCCATAACTGTGACACAAATAATTTAACTGGAAAGTGTCAACAATATGCATAACTAGACTTAGTACTTACAATTCCTGTAAAGTTTGGATAATGTAAAAAGGGCCAAGTCTTTAACAACTTTGCTTTACAGTTACCTTGCCCCACTTTAACTTTTGCAACACCTAGACAGATTTCCAGTATAACTGCCATACAACTTCATTGTGCAGTGTTTTATTTGAGTAAATTATTTTGTAAAATGGGTGCTAATATACGCACAATTATTTAAAATAAATGCATACCTAAATGCGTGTAAAGCAAATAATTAACACTTAAGTAAGGAATAATATAATTTCAAAAATTCTTACTTGATAACTTTAAGTAAATCTTCAACACCGTGTTTTACATCCGCATCTTCTTCGCTATCACCAGTAAAGAACCCTTCCTGTATATAATACACTGCATATATCATCACTTAATAATAATAATAAGACAATAAGCTGGACAATACAATATGAGCAAAGTATGTCTGCCCTTTCTATATTGTAATGCTTTTTGACAGTGAATAATTTTACAAGTTTGTATGGGGTGTGTGTAGCTAAGTGATTAAGGTTTATAACTATAAACCATCTGTCCTTCACTGCTTTGAGCTCCAATTGTGCCAGTGACTGAATTATTTCACATGAGGAATGTATCCAGCTAGCTAAAATACCAAACACTGGTGGTTCTTCTCAGATTCCTGTTTGTGCCTGTCACCATCTGTCTTTTAAAGAGTAAGTGCGGAATAAAACCAAAACCTGAAAGTGTTTGTTAAATACAAATGCCTCTGGCTTAGATTCTTGTCAGTAACAATTTTTCAAATAAGGTTTACCCATTCACTCTGTTATAGACAGAAAAATTGGCAAACAAAACATGTCCACAAGCAGAATTTGGAGTAAGCTCTTCTTAATTCAAACCCAAACCTATAAGCTTCAGATAAAAGAACAAGAGGGCCATGATGGCCCTGAGGTTGCTCACCTGTATATAGGCCCCCCCAACCCCCACCCCCCCCCCCCAACGTTGCAGGGCCAATTTAACCCAAGGGCTTTTATTTGCACAAACTTGGTAGACACCTATAAGAAGATGCTTCATGCTAAACATCTAAGCTCTAGCTCATTGGGCTTTTTAAAAGAAGATTTTTTTTTAAGTTTTTACTATACACATATAGTTAAAAATAATGACACCCCTGGAGCCGGGCCAGTTTTGACCCCAGGGCTTTTATTTGAATAAACTTTGTAGACACTTACTAGAAGATGTTTCATGCTTAATATCTAAACTCCAGCTATTTGGGTTTTTTCAAAGAAGATTTTAAGTTTTTGCTATACACATATAAAGAAAATCAATGACCCCCGGGGCGGGGCTAATTTTGAACCCAGGTCTTTTATTTGAACAAACTTTATAGACACTCACTAAAAGATGTTTCATACTTAATATCTTAACTCTAGCTATTTGGGTTTTTTCAAAGAAGATTTTTTAAGTTTTTGCTATACACATATAAGGAAAATCAATGACCCCCGGGGCGGTGCCAGTTTTGACCCAAGGGCTTTTATTTGAACAAACCTGGTAGACACCTATTAGAACATGTTTGATGCTAAATATCTTAGCCATAGCTCTTTGAGTTCTTTAAAAGAAGATTTTTTAAGTTTTTACTATATGCATATAGGGAAAATCAATGACCCCCCGGGGCGGGGCCAATTTTGACCCCAGGGCTTTTATTTGAACAAACTTGGTAGACACTTATTAGAACATGTTTCATGCTAAATATCTTAGCTCTAACTCTTTTGGTTCTTTAAAAGAAGATTTTTTAAGTTTTTACTATATGCATATAGGGAAAATCAATGACCCCCTGGGGCGGGGCCAATTTTGACCCCAGGGCTTTCATTTGAACAAACTTGGTAGACACCTATTAGAACATGTTTGATGCCCAATCTCTTAGCCATAGCTCTTTGAGTTCTTTAAAAGAAGATTTTTTAAGTTTTTACTATATGCATATAGGGAAAATCAATGACCCCCCGGGGCAGGGCCAATTTTGACCCCAGGGCTTTTATTTGAACAAACTTGGTAGACACCCATTAGAACATGTTTCATGCTAAATATCTTAGCTCTAGCTCTTTGGGTTCTTTAAAAGAAGATTTTTAAGTTTTTACTATATGCATATAGGGAAAATCAATGACCCCCTGGGGCGGGGCCAATTTTGACCCTAGGGCTTTTATTTGAACAAACCTAGTAGATACTCACTAGAAGATGCTTCATGCCAAATATCTAAGCTCTAGCTCTTAAGGGTATTTAAAAGAAGATATTTAAAGTTTTTTCTTTTGGTTGCCATGGCAACCAGAGTTCTGCATGGAATTAAATTCTTTGAACAATTTTTAAAGGTGACCACCAAAGGAACATTCCTGTGAAGTTTGGATGAAATTGGCTTAGTGGTTTATGAGGAGATGTCATTTAAAGTAAAAGTTTACGGACGCCGGACGGACGGACGCCGGACGAAAAGCGATCACAAAAGCTCACCCTGTCACTTTGTGACAGGTGAGCTAAAAAGATGTATGAAAGGTGAGGTGTGCATAAATCTTGACATTGCACCATCTAAGGTGACCTTGACCTCTGACCCGGTGACCTGGCTCAAGTGCATAACACAAATTCTCATGATGAACATTTGGGTCTAAAAAAAACTAAATTCATGTTATTTGAAAATTCCTTCATTCACAAAAAAATTATGGCAAGGACAAGTTTTGGATGCACTGACCTTTGACCCCTTAATGTGACCTTGACCTTTGCGACACACACCTGAATTTTTGGTGCGACATAATTGGAGAAAAATATCTACCGTCCAAATACATATTTTATCACACACCCGTGCCGATTTTGCGACTCCGTAAATATGGTATTGCACGGCCGTGCATATATTTTGACGTGACGTCATTAGCATTATACAAACATAGTGTAAAGACGCGCTAAATGTTAGCGTTATACTATAGGCACGTCAATGAAAAATGACTCTTATTTCACTTTAAACGGTCTTTATTTTTGGTATGTGATAAATAGAATATTAAATTCGTGTAAGTTCATTACTGAATTTATTGCACTCGTTGAATAAAATAATATTATGCTCGCCAGAGGCTCGCATAATATAATTTTATTCAACTCGTGCAATAAATTTAGTATTGAACATACACTCATTCAATATCCTCTATTTCATATTTTTATCTGAACTTTGACCCCTATGTGTTATCTTGACCTTGGCTGCAAGGACCTTAATTTTGCATGCGACACCCTGCCTTACAATGGTGAACATTTGTGCCAAGTTATATTGAAATCCCTCTATGCATGTAGAAGCTTTGCTCTGGATAAGTGTTTTTCAATGACATTTAAGGTTGACCTTGACTTTTGATCTAGAAACCAGGGCTGCGTTTCATGGAGAGTCCTAAGTCTTAAGTTTGTCTTAAGATAAAAATTGTGACAATTTTGCGTTTCAAAGAAAGTCTTAAAAAAGGTCCTAACTTATGACTCCTATATTTATGACCAAAAACAGTCCTAAGTCTAGGAGTGTTTAAAAGGTATCTTAAGATTGTCCTAAGTCAAAACCACTCCAAAATCAAACAACTTTTTGTTGAATTTTGTTTTGAAAACTATCTAGAATGATAGATAATGGTCTAACTAAGAAAATAAATCTGAAAAAACCAATATCTTTAATTCAGTCATTAACGCTGTACAGACGTTTAAAGAGTTGTTTACATGACGTCACAATGTAGCGCCAAATATTGCGTGCAAAACAAGACGCATCTATATAGGGTTAACGCACGTTTTTCCGTGTTATAACGTCTGCAGAGTCTCGAGGAACGGTTGGTGCCCGAGCCCGGTAGGGCGAGGGCTCCAACAGTTCCGAGGGACTCTGCAGACTTTATAACACGAAATAAACGTGCGTTGACGCTATTATAGCATAAAATTTTCAAACAGATTCGTGATGTATAGTTTATACAAAACACAATTACATTAAATTCTTGTGCTTGGACGGTATTTATCCAATTCTATGTTTTACGTATGCGTTCCATTTTTCCGGGGCCAACAACTTGGAAAATTCTCGGAACCGAACGAAATTTTGAATTTTAATTGATTTAACAAAGCTTGGCCTTTGGAGATTTATTATCTCAAGAAAAAACAAGATTGCATTTGAGAAAAATGCTATGCCACCGCATTAATACAACACTAAATAGTAGTGTAGGAACAGATTTTCTTTGTTTCTATACAATTTTGAAGATTGTCATAATGCATAGATCCCTGACCTATCTAATTCTTATTATCAGATTAGTTAAATCTGTTGTTAACTCAATAAAAGATCAGAGTAGGAATATATCAATGCACTTGAGTCTAGTGAATTTGGTGTTGAAGGTCATATTTCACACAGCCTAAATTTCATGACCACATCAAAGGACAACATAGTAAGACACTTTGTCAAAATCTAGGTCAGCTGAAATCAAAGTTCACTTAACATCTTAATCTGTACACATGGTTCAAATTTCATAGCTGTACATCAAAGGACAAGAAAGTAGGTCACATCATCAAAATCTAGTTCACCTGATATCAAAGTTCAATTTTACAACTAAAACTGTGCACATGGTCAAAATTTCATTGCTGTACATCAAAGGACAAGAAAGTAGGTCACTGTCCCCTTGGGCAAGGCAAAATTTTGGACCCAAGGGTTTAATTCAAAACAATCTTGATACAGGTCCACCAAACAACATTTCAAGTCAAATATCTAAGCTGTAGCTCTCTCCTATTCAGAAAAGATTTGTTTTATTTTCTGTTTTACTATGTGAACATAATGAGAATCACTGCCCCTGGGCAGGGCCAATTTTAACACTAGGGGCATAATTAAAACAACTTTAGTAGAGAACCCATAGAATATATTATAGAGCAAACATCAAAGCTCTATGCCTTGTACCTTCAGACAAAAATATTTCTTTTTTTTTTTACTATATGTACATAGTGAAAATCAATGACTCCTGGGTGGGGCCAATTTTGACCCCAGGGCTATAATGTGTACAATCTTGCTACAGGTTCACTACATAATGTTTTCATGCAAAATATCTTAACTCTAGCCTTTGTAAATTTAGAGAAGATGTTTTTTTAAGTTTTTACTATATATACATATAAGGAAAACCTATGGCCCATGGGGCGGGTCTTATTTTGACACAATCTGAGGCAAAATTTGAACAACTTTGGTAGAGTACCTATAGATGATATCATTTAACAAATATTCAAGCTCTAAGCCTTGTACCTTCAGACAATAAGATTTTTTTATTTTTTTACTATATGTACATATTGAAAATCAATGGCCCCGGGGGCAGGGGCAATTTTGACCCCAGGGCTATAATTTGAACAATCTTGCTAGAAGTTCACTTCACA